TGGGGCTCATCGCCCCTCCCCGCCATGGGATGGTGGGACACAGAGGATGTGGGGTGAAGAGGACGCCGCAGTGGCCACCCCGTGGGGACAGGGACGTGGCCACCAGCCCCAGGGGACGTGGGATGAAGCCGGAGGTGCCCCAGATTTACGCTGGAGCATCCCACCTCCTGCCTCGCCCCGACGGAGAAATGTCACAGGCAGAGCTACCCGAAGTCCCCTTTCGTCCCCAAATTTGTCACACCGCTATCACCCAGCCCCGGGCATGGGGGGGGAGGTCCGGATCTGGCCACCCCACCTCCCTTTGCAGCAGGAGAGGAGGTGGCGGGGGCGGGGGTCTGCAGTGGGCTGGCGGGCTCATGTCCGTCCAGCTCAGCTGCGTTTGGTGACCATTTGCCGGTCCCTCTTCTTCTTCTCCATCAACCTGGTGGAGAGCAAGGTGGTGGCCTTAGGGACCCCCCTGAAAGGGACCTCCTAAAGGCACAGGGAGGGGACACTCACTTGCGGTTGCGGACTTCAGTGAGCTCCATGAGCCGCTCCTGGGCTGCCCGTAACTCATCAAGGCGCTGCTGGTAGCGGGAGTCGCAGCCGTTGGTGCGCTCGTAGCTGGAGACCTGGCTGGAGAGCTCACTGGCGCGGTCCCGTAGCTGCTGGATGGATGAGTAGAGGTTCTCCTCGTCTTCCTCCTGCTCTGACACAAGGGTATGAGCTGGTGGGGTGGACAGGACGCCCCAGGGTGCTGTTCTCCCCTGCTCCAGCTGGGGAAACTGAGGCATGGGGTTCCCCAAGCTGCCCAGGCCACCTGCCTTGGCGTTGATGATCTCGATGTGGATGAGGAGGGCGGCGAGCTCCAGGTCCTCGGTGTAGCTGTTCTTCAACGGCACCGACCGGTAGCCTGCACACAACACCACGACACGAGCTCAGCCCCATGGCAGGGTCCGAGCCCCTCGCCACGGCCAGATCCCTGAGAAGATGATGATGATTGCAGGGGGGGTTGGACTAGATGACCTTTAAAGGTCCCTTACAACCCAAACCATTTGATGATTTTGTGATTCTATGATGATGATTCTGTGATGATGATGATGATGGTGCAGATGGAGGGACCATACCTGTTTTGAGGCCCTTGACGGGGAAAGTGGCTTGTGCCAAGAAGTTGGGGTCACTGAACATGTCCTCCTCGTACACCACAAAGCGGAGG